ATTCGGTTTCCCTCAGTCTCCAGGTGGAAGCAGGTGTACTGGAAAGTACCCGGCAGTTCGACAATTGATTGGCGAACATCCTGGACTTGCTCTTGGCTGGATACCTGCAATTGACCGTTAGGTAAACCACTGAGAGAAGATATATATACTGAGGCAAGGATGGACCTACCATAACCTGAATGCTGTGTGGCTCGTGAGGGAGCTTTACGCTGATCTGGAAAAGACCTAAAATGTGCACACGACCATAAACAGAGAGCCCTTTCTACAGACATTGATAGCCCTGCTTAAGAGAAACAAACAGCCCTACCTCCAGCATTGTTGTTATCATCCTGTTCCCCTTCTGTCTTGTTGCCGTTTGCAAGCTCCTGGCTGGTATTTTCAGGCTTGGTATCATCTGGCACTTCTATAGCAAGATGTAAGAAAAAAAAAAAAAATTAGAATCAGCTTCCAAATTGCACAACCACACAGCCATCATGCTGTACACCCGCCATTGAAGCGACAGGCAAGGCCAATGGCAATTCTCACGGCATGTCTCGTACCTTTTGAGTGTTCCGGGCCTTTACTTTGCTGGTCCATCTCGAATAAAGAGCCGAGTGTGCAAATTTCACAGATGTACACAACCCGAGCTTAAGAAGGTAGCCAAAGAACCCGCCTTTGCCTTTTGAATGAGCGACTCGAAGAGAGAAAGGGAAAAGGTATGAAATTATACAATATACAGCGCACCGAAACGAAAGGGAAGATCCCAAGAGGAGAGTTGAAAAGGCGCTTGTCTCGACTGCTGCAGTTTTTCTTCTGGGCCCCGGCGGTTTCTTCAAGTTGGGACTTCTGGAGAGGAAATTTCACGGAGGCGGATTTTCTGCTCGGAAGGAAACGGGATTCTCTCGGTGAAGCTTAAACTCTGGTTCGATATCCAGTCGAACGTCGTGGGGCCGGCAGTGCAGGGCCGATCACAAGACCATTGTTCTCTTTCTGTATACCAGAGCTGGCGAGCGTTGAGGCGTCGAGGTTGGTAGTTTGTCCGGCGGTGCGTCTATTGTGGGAGTCGTTGATCAACTAACTAGTTAGCGAGCCAGCTGAGCCCACGGCGTCGCTGCCAGTGAGTTATATATAGCTGTATGCCTGGCCGGGCCTCCTCTCAGGACTGCGTGCGCGCTCAAGGGCCGGGCCTCCGCTTCCGAATCATATCAATTAATATCTGTCCTCTTCTTTCCCCAGCTTTGCCAGTCGGGGACTCAAAACCAGGCGTTCAGAGGTGGGAGCTGATCCCGGCAAGCGGTTCTGCAGCAAGGGCAGCGGCAGGATAGATACGAGCTGCTAATTGCGTGCCTATCACTTGCCCTGCCATGCATGCCCTTACCCCATAAAAGCACCCTGATTAACAAAGACGAAACTCGCCCATAGCGTGTCTGCTCGACGTTATTCGCTGTTTCGTGGCCGCTGGTAGGCGAGCCGACACTAACTAACTACATGGCATGGTATGGCATGGTCCTGTGAGCGCGAGACATCCTGGACCCCTGGCTGGTTACTTTCGTTTCGCTTAAGCGGAAAGGCAGCACAGAAGACGTCCGTCTGCCGATAAAGAAGCAAGCGAAACACAAAATGGACTCTCTGATTTCAGCATTACTGACTGCATTTTTACAAAGATGCTAAGAGATCTCGGTTCAGCAGCATTGAACCTTTAAGATCGTAACTAATGAATTTAGCAGTTCCAGTGATAAAGCTACATCAATATCAAACCCACGCTGGCATAGTTAAAATAGCGCTCAACGCAGACTTGAAAAAGACAGCAGCCCTCTACCTGCTTTGCAGGGCCAGCATAGAAGAGGTTCTCGGGTTATCTCCAATAGACATTCGGAGCATAGTTCAAATATAGGCCAATGGTTAGCTCCTCGAGGACCTATTTCCGGCTTGAAAGTAGAACACAGTCATAAGGGTATCCGTTCGCATATTGACTACCTCTCCCCTTCTTTGAAGCCCTTTTATCAAATACTAATAATGTCAACCGGCCATCCGTCAGTCCTTCTCTTTCGACTCCATCAAAAAAGACCAAGAGAAAACTTCCAAGAAACGGCTCCACGTGACATCCCGAGACGCCAGCTACTAAGAAAGCGACAAGTCGAGATCGCGAAAAAGAAACGTTTGAGATTTCAAGAATTTTCAGCTCGCTGTCAGATGCGACCTGGTTTCACTTGGGATCGTCTCCGCCGACAGGTCGTGCATACATGCTCCGTACATATCATGAGTGTGGCTCATCTGAACTTGTCCATGTCTTTTCATTATTGATCTCCTGGGGAAACAATCCCGATTCGCGCTCCATCTGTTTGGCTGGGCCTGAACCGCCCTTTACCCGGAGCCCGAACCTACCCCTGAAAACAATAATATAAACAGCGAGCTGGCACTGCTGGACAAAACAGATCCAAAAGACCGGCCTCGCAGTTCTCGGAAGATTAAAAGCTCGACCGGCCTTATCGGGTGATGCAAAATCATTCTGTGATGCGCTTTATCCGGACATATAATGCGGCAGCCGGGCTTGGTCTTAGGGGAGCTGTAAGGCCACGATATGCCACACTCCCGCAGCTTCGTCGGCACTATGGATCGCAAGACGTTGCTCCTGGAGGCCCGCCACAGCCGGGGAAAGAGGGTCCTGATCCAGATGAGTCCTCTCGAGAGAAGTCGTCCAATCAGCAGGATAACTCATTAAAAGCAACGCTGCTGCGGATGTTTGAATCGTCAGCAACTACGTTTGCCTCTATTGCTGTCCTTGGGTATGTCATCCCCGGTGTTTGGCTCAATGTACGATATAGCAGATTGAATCTAAGGGGTTCCCATTTTCTAACTTTGAAATTATATACATATTTTGTTTCTCTTTGGTTAAAGTGCTGCAGGCTATTCTTACCACAAGTATTATAAGCATTTGGTCCTGAAGAAGATGGACAATGCCTTTGAACCTGGTGATCCAATGTTAGAGCTGGCTGGTGTCAAGGACCCCAAGCAAGATCCCAAGGGAAGCAAGGATATGGAGAAGGACCCTGACCACTGGCTCGAGCGCGATGAGCAAGGTAGAATTGATGAGATTATAAACGGTGCCATTGGCCATTATTACCTTCTTATTGGTGAGAAGGGCACTGGGAAAACCTCTATGATCCTCAATGCAATGAGGAAAGTTGATGGCAGTCGCGTTGCAATGTTCGAAGCTCATGCCAACCTCGAGATCTTCCGAATACGACTAGGAAAGTCTCTGGACTATGAGTTCCATGAAGAGTATGTATAGAATGGCAATACTATACACAGCCTACAATGCCTCAGATGCTAATTCATAATTCTCGATTTTTGCAGCTATATTGGTAGTCTTTTCAGCATCAGAGGGCCCCGTGATACCACTGCCCTATTGGACATTGAACGTGCCCTGAACAAACTGGAGAAAGTCGCAATCAAGCGCCGGAACGTCAATCAGAATCCCCTGATTTTGATCATTAACTCTCTGCATTTGGTGAGAGATGACGATGATGGCAGGGACCTCCTTGAGATGCTTCAGCAACGCGCGGAGCAATGGGCCGCCAGTGGTCTAGTGACTATGGGTTAGTTTCCTACCGGATTACATGTCTTAACCAAGAAGTCTTCGCTAATAAGTATAATAGTATTCAACAGCGATGATTACTGGATCTACGAGCGCCTAAAAAGGTATGCTTCCAGAATGGAGGTCATCCCCGTCCCAGACTTGCCGAAGGGTAAGGCACTAGGTGCACTCCGCAGGTATCGATCCAGATACTTCAAAGAAAACCCACCACAGAGCATCTTGGAGGAGGTATACAACAAGGTTGGTGGGAGGTTGACCTTCTTAAACCGCGTAGCCAAATCCGAGGATATGATAGCAACCTGCAACGAAATCTGTGAAGCTGAGAAAACCTGGTTTTTGAACAAATGCTGGATCCTCGGCGAGGAGATGGATGATGATGTGATGGACGAACAAAAATATTCTGTAAGTGTCTTCTTCGCTTATCAGCACCCAATACCTTGCGTATAATGAGCGCTACTGACTCGCCGTTAAAACAATAGTCTGCAGCAATGGTGCTAGCAAAGGCTCTGGTAGACCTCGAGAAGGACATGGAGAAAACATATGACGACGAAAACGGACATATCTTACCAGAGCTACCGCTCCATAAGGCACGCCAGATCATGACACGCGCAGACTTCATTCAATCTTATGACCATGACAATATCTTTACCATTGACTCCAAGGCAAGGGTTCGAGCTGACTCTGTGCCGATGCAAAACGCATTCCGTGAGATATGTTCCGAACCAGGCTTCGACCAGTACCTTGAGGACACTTTGGACAGGATTTCGGCTATCGAAAGTTTGGGCAGGACCCGAGAAATTACTGTCAAGGACTTCTGGAATGAGGGTAAATTCAAAGCAACCATGCGTGATACCAAGGGCCGTGAAACCGGTACTCTGGAGATTGGCGTGGTTAAACCCGAGAAGGAAGAGGACGATGACTAGACATCCCCCTTTTCCCCCCTATTTCCTGTACTATACGCCGGTGCATCCTTTTTTCTTTTCTTTTCTTTTCTTTCACTCTTTAGATCATTTTCTTCCTTTATTATTTTTGAGCAGATGGCTTTCTTTTGTAGAGAATATGATATTAATAATAAAATACATATATCTAGGATCATATAGTAACATTGCTGCCAGACACTAGAAAATAGAAAGGAGCCATAGATTATATATGAATTTTGTATAAATAGTAACCCACCGTTCCTTCTTGCTCCTCTGACGATTCTTCAAGAAACTGCGTTCTTAATTCGATTCAAGTATGCTAGGTTGACTTCGATCAAATTTCTTCCTGCAATATACCAAAAAGTCAGCAAGTTTATATATTTATAGAGAACTTCGATATTATATACAAGAAGGGAAGCAGAAAAGCGGGGAGGGATTCAGAGGGTCTATCATTGCCAAATATACTCGACTCGGTCACTGGAGTAGTTTTATTTCCGACGAATTCAAGTGGGCTTTGGCAAGTCGATGTCCACTAGCCAAGGGAGATGAAAGCACTGGTCATGATCCTCGTCTCCCTTTATAGATGCATTGATAAAGAGAGTTTGAGCTCCCGGTTTCGCAAAGCATCTGGTTGAGTAACATCCCTCCCTTTGCGAAGTTTTCAGTTTTTCCAGCTTCGCTTCTCTGACTTCTGGTTCATCATGTTTTGATCCGCCCAATCTTGACAAGTTCGTTATCACAGGAGATTTGTCAGGATCGTTTTCGATGACGGTCAAATGTGATGCCTCCGAGTTGTTGTTCTCGCGCCAGGTAACCAGCCTAGCACCCCATTCTTCATGTATGTGTCCAAAGCAATGTAGCTTTGGCTTTGTTCGAAAGACAGATTTAAATAAGTCGGGGCATCCAACTCTTGAGGAGGAATAGGGCCGATCCATCACCCCGTGTGGAGGCCCGTGGGTCATAACAATATCGACACCGTCTTTGATGTCAAAGCTGTGGCCTTCCTTAGGGGAATATTGGAATCCCCAGTCGCCCTCGGAGGGTGTAAACGGGCTAGCATATATTGTCAGTAACGTCCCATTTGCGAGATCAAAGGTGTACAAGCCCTCGTCCAGTAGAATGATGCCATGGTCCCTTGCTTCGTCGAAGAGCCTCTTTACCTCTCCATAATCTCCGTATACCTTTTTCACTAGCTCAGCATCAACTGGCCCGGGCATCTCCGCAACTTTTTGTCTAAACATCGGCACATCGAGGGTAAAATCGTGGTTACCAGCGATTATAAGTTTTAAAGGGGCATTTATAGCCTTCAGGAGCTCTATTGTGGCCCGGAATTCGTCGATCTTGGACTCTTAAGTAAGATCGCCACAGTGAAGAGCAACATCCGCATGCTGCTCTGGAGGATGATAATCGGTAGCATGGGTGTCGGAAAGAATGAGAAACCGAGTAGCCATGCTGCGCTGGATTCAAGTGTTATCTCGGCGTCAGTTAAGGCGAAATACCCAGAAGGTAAGCTGAGCAGTTGAGGGTTTGGTAGGAGTAGTTTTGAGAAGTGAAAGATTTATTTAGGAGGGAAAATGGCCTCTTATAGCGAAAAGGAACCATTCGCCATAAAGAGTTGTAGGTAGTCGGATGATGCAGTCAATGATGTCAACTCTGTGATAAGAGCTTAAGGTTTCCTGCAAAGAGTCACTGAGGACTATCCAGTAGTTAGCCGTTCGAGCGCAAGCTCCATTGATTGGCTGGACTTTCTCTTATGTAAAGAAGAACCTGGGTATATGGACTTCAGCCGTTGAGAGTATTTGATGAAGAGTTTCTTCTCTCCCATCCCTTGAAGATGTGTAAATCCATGAAGAACCAACCCCCTGCTGCTCGAATAGCTGGGGAAGCTGACTAAGCGGGATCATTATCACGTGACAGTATGACATCATCACCCCGGACCTGCTGCTTCCAACTCGCTGGCTAACTAGTTAGTTAACTAGCGGAAGCTGGAAATCAAAACACAAAAACAAGCCAAGCGCGAGCGAGCTTGCGACATGCATTTGTCCCAGAAATCCAACCTACCGCAGGCACATCAGGACAACCACTCGCATTTATCTGATATTGAATTGAAGAACAAGCCAGCTACTGTATACCTGCACAGCTCCTAGTACTCAGTCGCAACGCCCCCAATGGGCCCAAAATCAGCTTCTACCGCCTCGCCTGGCAAGAGAGGGAGACCTTCTACCAAGGCTGGCACTGCCACTAGCACGAAGGTATCAGTCGAGGTACCAGTTCCTAAAGGTGCTGTCGCAAGGGAGACATCGTCATTTAGCTTGGAGAGCGTGCTGCATTTTGCGCTTTTGGCCAGCAGTAGCTTGCTGCTGAGCACGGCGCTCTTCTCTCTCAGTGTCCCGATAACAAAGGGGGACTTGGCATGGACGAGCAAGCGCTTAGACTCGTGGAGGGATGTCATGGTGCTCCTCGCATGGCGGGTTATTGAGCTGGCGGTACCTTGGTTTTCGGGATATGATGGTTTGAAAATGGCCCTGGACCTTTTATCACCGACTGACCTAATGCTAACTATGGCCACTAGCTTGGGATGCGTTGTGTTTTATCGGCCTCATTCACCTTCCGGCATATTCTCTCCTGCTCAACTTTTATAACATTCGGCCGACGACGATAATCGCTGTTGCGACCTTTACCATTCTATCGAGCACGATTCCGTTTTCTTACTTCCGTCCGCTGGGTCCAGCGCATAGTGGCAGCCCGGCTGTCAACCGTGCCATTCTTGCGGATGGTCTCACTACAGCGTACATCACTGTGGCTTCCACCCTTGTATACACCACGTTTATATACCTCAGCTTTGTGACATGGCTTCCAACCCATCTTGTCACATATTTTAACGGGCTCCCTGATATCACTGCCGCTCATGCTGGGCCAAAGGGATTTGTGTCGCTTTTTCTTAGTCTTTTGCCTGCAGGATACGGAGCGAGAGATCTTTTATTCGTCACATCTGCTAGCCAGCCACCGGAAAAGAAAACCGAGCCAAAAACGACACGTCGACGACTTCGGTCATCGGATTCGCGAAACGAGGAGGAAGAGCAACGAGAAGAGTCCTGCATTGCTTCACTTTATAAGAAGGCCTGGCTTGGACTATCTCCTGCTTCAAGGACACTTATATCACGGTCACTAGCCTTGGCCCTTATGACTCTAGCCAACACCTTCGTGCAATTAGCAGGTACAATCAGCGGGGTAGAGCCTAAGGGAGCCTTGGGATGGGGTTCGATTTGGTCACTTGCCACACTAGTCAACGCTTTCTTTTATGGCTGGGTTCAAGAAGCAAGCGGTGTATGAAGAGACAGAGGAAGAGTGACAAAGTTGACGGCAGTGTCAACTTATCTGATTATGAAGGTTTAGTTCCTTGTTTCTATGTCTTACGAGGATTTCATTTTTCTTTTCCTTATTTTCCCTTTCTTTTTTCTGCTACTTTTTAACGACACCTTAATGGTTATGAGTGAGGCTAAGGGACATGGGGGTTGTGTAAAGGGAAAGGAAATCCGAATTGTTTGGTGTTTCCTGTTAGGGATTGATATTGGGGGAGGCAAAGTGGGCGAATATTCAATACTCCCCGCTTCCTCTAGTGGAACAGCAGCGATATTATAGGGGTTTTTCCAAGGCATACGTCCATCGGGGATTCGTATGTCTCTTGGGGATGGATGCTTTTTATGTAGATGTGATACGCGAATTGTTAGTTATGGTCTATTTTACAATACGATAATCAATAATGTCTCATTAGTTACCACCAGTACGGAGAAATATCCCATCTTTTTCCCCTCCCCTAATAATAACGTAGTACTGTTTTCACAGCTACTCCCTGGCTATAGAATAATACAATAATAATGATAACCAAATCCAGAGCTTGGAGGATTCTCTCCATCTGGATGCGGCTTCACAGCGCGACTTCTCATTGGTGTATGTGTATTACCTAATGACATTAAATCACGTGATTATTTACGTAATCTCTTCTGCGGGCGAGGGGAGCTTTAGACAGGATTGGAAAGTCTTTTGGATCTTAAGACGCAACAACATCTGGCGGGATAAGACAGCTAATCATGTCTAGCGAGGTCACGCTCAGTGTCGTTGACAGTATGTATCCAGCGCGAGGCCGACATGTCTTCTGAAACCTGATATGGACTAACAACTGCTGCAGACGACCTGAAAGACGTAATTCAAAACTTCTTTGAGATTCAGTCGGCGGTCCATGGATATCTCGGGCCAGAAACACAGCATGAGCTCGTTAGGAAACTGTCAGTTACCCGTTCATATCTGCATACTGTATTGCATGGATTATTTTGTTATCGATTACTGATATTTGTCCACATGTTTAGAAAGTCTCTTACCATATCCCTTAAAACACTATCTGATCATACTACCCTGGATCCAGCGCATGCAGATGCTGCATCAAAACAACCCAACTCCAACCCTGCGCTGCCACAAGCGGATCCGCCACTGCACACCATCAAGCTACCGCCGGAGATCGTTGACTACGTAGATGCAGCGCGTAACCCAGACATATACACGCGAGAATTCGTTGAGTTGGTTCAAAAAGGAAACCAGGATTTAAAAGGAAAAGCTGAAGCTTTCTCTTCTTTCAGAGACACTCTTGCACGGGAGATGGCTAGCGCAATGCCCGAGTGCAAAAAGGAGGTGATACGGGTTGTTAAAGCGACCGGCGGCGATGCCCAACAACTATAGCCCTTTTTTTTTCTCTATTCTAGGGCTGGCGTTTTAATACTAGGCCAGGGTTAGAACGGTATAGTAACCTACGGATTTATGGAGTCAGGAGTTATGGGGTGTATCTGCTTCCCGTCTGGGGGATCCGAGTGTCAATTAACAGCACAGGACCAAATGGATAATTTTCCCACACTTCTCTTCCTGGTTTTCTCCTCCCTCGTCCTGGCCACCCTGGAACAGCACATATTAAACCAAACATGCGCATTGAAAGTCAGGGACACAACGCATGGCAGCTGGTGTACAGATACAACCAAATGACGCCCCTTTTAACCATGGGAATCTGCCAAGGCCAGATGAAAACATCCAAAAATAGTGAAATGCCCCGTTGCCCACCGCCATAGCATGCTCCTTTAACCACGGATCTGATTGACACGGAACCCGAGTCGTGGGCGCACCGCGATGTGGGGAAGCATTTTCTGGTTTGATCATCCGAGAACTGGATGGGCCAATCGTCACGACCCGTCAAGATGGCAAAGCGTGCAAATAAGCAAAAGAAAAAGCACTTCTGCCTCCTTAACGGAATGTAAGCAGTAGCCATTCCCGGCACTTACAATCATGTGCTGTTACTGATGGAGTTTAACAGGACCACGAAAAGAAGATCGCAGAATTGGAACTATACGCTTTCGGAAATAATAAGGAGCCAGGCGCCCATATGTGTCGATCTTTTAGGCATGCATGTCAGCCAGGCTTCGACTATATATATAATATATACGGCATCTCTGGGGCTGAATACGTAGCAAGGCTGAGTTTCGTGAAGGCACCTTAAAAGACATGCCAGACCTTTGGATCATATGTGAATTTCCAACTCGCCTTTGTCGTACCGTACAACCCAGATGAAATCGCCCAAGCTTTGCCTCGTATATGGTACTGGCTCACTGTTTGCCCCACATGACGGTCCGCTACGTCTCGACCGTTTTCTCAATATAAATGATTCTGGATAGCCCGTTGACGGACTTACCTGACAGCCTGCTTGCCTGTGTGCAAAGAATTCTTAATACCGGACGGTTGATGCCGTTGTCGTCATCGAAACTCAATGCAGTCTTCGTTCTGTGCTTTATGACACTCCCTTCCGGCAAGACACCACGATCATGTCGGAAGATGATGGGCTGACCGGAGCCTACAAGGGGGCTAATTTCGCAATCAAGATAATAATTGGGGTGTTTATTGGAATCTCCTGGTACAATGCACTGGAACTATGCGTTCTGGTCTTTGTCACGTTCAGTCATTATAGAGGCCTTTACTTCTGGAGCCTCTTGATATCAGCGACTGTTGGCGTCATGCCATATGCACTCGGTTTCCTACTAAAGCTCTACAACTTGATGGACAATGTCTGGCTGTCGCTTGTTTTTCTTACAGTTGGCTGGTGGACCATGGTTACTGGCCAGTCCTTTGTCCTCTACTCCCGGCTTCACCTCGTTATTCGCGACCAAAAGATCCTACGCCGCGTTTTATGGATGATAATTTGCAATATTTTCATCTTACACTTACCTACAACCATCCTTACATTCGGTTCGAACTCGAGTCACCAAAAGAGTTTTGTTCCAGCATACAAGATTATGGAAAAGATACAGATGACCGGCTTTTTTATTCAAGAGGTCATCCTCTCTACCCTCTATATATTGGAAACAATGAAGATGCTACGGATAGCACCCAAGCATGGAAACCGGAAGATTATGTATCAGCTTCTCGGTATCAATCTTATCTTCATCATCATGGACCTTGCACTCCTGGGCACGGCTTATGCCAACCTATATGTTATCGAAACAACGATTAAGGCCTTGATATACAGTGTTAAGCTGAAGCTTGAATTCGCTGTTTTGGGCAAGCTTGTCCACTTGGTCAACATACACTCCTGGAATCCGGAGTTTTTCAGTGGATCAAATGGCTACCCAGATTTCGTGGACCCAACGCAGATAACGACCGACATTACTCGGCCTCCTCAATGCATTAACAGTCCCCCCAGACCGCCGTGGTCATTCCCAGACACTCTGCCAATTACTTCGGATCTGCAATTCTGCGGGAAAGCAGACGTGGCGCCGTCGAGCAGCGGCAGTTTGGCTACGACACATATTGCTCCATGCACCTCCAACGGGGTTCCAGTACCGACACCAGTTGATGTTACACATGCCACACCCTCCCAGGTTATATCACCCAATAACCTTCCCAAGTGGCCGAGTTAAAAGGGAAGAGGATTTCGCTGTTGCAGTCACAGCCTATCCACAACACACCACCCTTTCCTTTTGCCCAGGCTGAAGAAGATGAGATCCAAAGGATTCTGAAACCCCGGACCCGGCTTATCACACGGTGGAAAAGGAACGTCAAACGAGCTCCTGAAGGATGCGAGGTTGTATATATCAGCTCAACTATCAGGGGGGACCAGAAGCTGGCCGATGCGTGTGGCTGAATAATAAGGCTCTTGCACTTCCCTGTGCGCGAAAGTACTCGAATGTCTATTTAAGGCAGCAGTACCTCGTATAATAGCCGCCTGCCCTCGAAGTATGGCTCTTTGTGTGACATGAGCCGGGAAAGGACTTCGCATTTACTTACATCTTACACGTTGTCTGCCAGGCAGATCTCCAGCTTCATGCACGATTTACGACGAACAACGAGATAGAAACGGACATTACACTCCTTCCACCTGATGGAAACTGTATATAGATTATGTCACATCACTGCTTATCTTTCTTCTTCTTTCTTGTATTTAATAACGCTTTCACTGAATGAATATATCTGCTGTCTGTTCGTTCTATCGAAAAGGCTAAAATGCCTTAGAAAAAAGCTACTTTGTTGAAGCTGCGGCGGAAGCTATGCGATGACTAAGCGGGTCCCCGCCCTTCCCGTCCTCCTTGCTTTTATGCGCGCTGCAATTTTGAGACATCGCGAACTTCGACTTCACGAACTTCACCCTGACTCCTTGTCGGAGCTGGAAATGGGCGGAGGGATACTGTTGTCCAATGATTGCTGGATGCTAACCTTTGTTCAAACGAATAACAGCATCTAGTTCGCCACCATGGTTTCCTCGCGACGCGGATTCAACCCGATAGCCTTCACCCCCTGGCCGGTGACGATACTCTCCTCGTTGGTGTACCTCGCCCTGATAATCCCAATCATTGTTGTCCACCATCTGGTTCCTCCCGCGCCAAAGGAAAGCCCTGCAGGCGTAGACCTAGAGGAAGCCTGGCACGATCTCCAACACCTGACTCGGCAGTATCACCCTTACAACAGCCACTCAAACGATGAAGTGCACCAGTGGCTCCTTAAGCGTATCCATGCTATCTCCGCAACCTCGGCTCGCTCAGAATCCCAATCGGGCCCAGAAGTCTTTGTTTTCGATGATAACCAAACAAATCTAACGTTTTCCAGCGCTGGCGTTGCTGCTACAGCCATTACCGGCGTATACTTTGAAAGCAGAAATATCGTGGTCTACATTCGCGGCACGGAAGATGAGCCGGGGGAATGGTGGAAATCTCCCGATGGTGAACCGTCAGGAAAAGGTGGAGTGCTTGTAAATGCACACTATGATAGTGTCTCTACCGGCTACGGAGCGACGGATAACGGAGTTGGTGTGATTACGACACTGCAATTACTCAAATATTTCACCACACCAGGACACTATCCTCGGAAGGGCCTGGTGCTGCTGTTCAACAATGGAGAGGAGGATTTCCTGAATGGCGCGTATGCATACAGCCAGCACCCAATGTCTAAATTCACGCATACGTTTCTGAATCTCGAAGGTGCTGGTGCAGGAGGCCGCGCTGTCCTGTTCCGTAGCACAGACACAGAGGTTACGAGATTCTATGGAAAATCGGAACATCCCTTTGGCACAGTCCTTGCGAGAGACGCTTTCAAACTGAAATTTATCCGCAGTGAAACCGATTACCACGTCTTTGATGGCGTCTTTGGCATGCGTGGGCTCGATGTTGCATTCATGGAGCCCAGAAGCAGATATCACACCGACCAAGATGATGCCAGGCATACTAGTATTGATTCCGTTTGGCACATGCTTTCAGCGGCCATTACAACCACTGAAGGGTTGGTCAGTTACACCGGAGATGCTTTCGACGGTGATAGCGGAGATGGTGGAAAACTCAACAACGGCATCGGTACCTTGGGTGTTTGGTTTGACTTCTTCGGTTCGTCCTTTGCAGTCTTCCAGCTCAATACTCTCTTTGGGCACTCGGTGGCCCTCTTGGTCGTCGCCCCTCTTCTACTCATCATTACGTCTGTTGCACTCTTCGCAGTTGACAAAATGTACATGTTCTCCATGTATACGTACATATCGGAATCAGGTGGTCAAGTATCGCTCTATGGCTTACGAGGGATGTTCCGTTTCCCCCTGATCCTTGGTATTAGCACTGCTCTAACCATTGCTCTGGCATTCCTAATAATGAAGGTCAATCCTTTTATTATATACAGCAGCCCGTATGCAGTTTGGAGTATGATGTTGTCCACTTGCATGTTCTTTGCATGGTTTATTTCCTGTGTTGCAGACTTTGCCAGACCGTCCGCGCTACACAGAGCATATGCATTTTCTTGGATGTTTGGCATTATGTGGGTTTTCCTTGTGATAGCCACCGTTTATCAGAAACAGCACGGCATAGCAAGTAGCTACTTCATTGTATTCTACTTTGCCGGAGTAGCTGTTGCAACGTGGATCTCATATTTGGAACTTTTTGGCCTGCCAAAAACACAGGATTATGCTCGTCGGCAGGGCCGTCTTTCTGATCGAACACCTAGTTCTGACAGTCACTTTCTCGCTCCATCTGCAGATGAACTGCCATCCAGCAGCAGTGCGGCAGGCCGAGATTTTAACCCAGAAGATGTTGAGGACGAGGAGCCTACAGAATCCACGTCTCTCCTTCGGGGACAGCAGAGAACTACATTTGCTAATTATGCCAGTGCTAGAGGTAGCCAGGAGAGCAATATATCCAACCAGGGCAACAATTCGTTACACCCTAAGG